ACACATTTACCACAAACTTACCTCGTCTTTCCCCTTTCCCCTCCTCAAGAGGTAGAATTTGACAAGAATTATAGGAACAGAAATATTCAGTACTGGGTAGACATGGCTAAACAATGAAAATAAAAGGGTTTTTTAGCCAGATTTGTGAAAATGTGACTTTTACGTCTAGTTTTTTTTCAAATTATAGCTGCATTGCTGCATAGAACTTGTGAAATCTTAAAAGGTCACCACTGTGTAAAAAAAGCTAATTCATAATAATTTATTGCCTGTTACCACTATGTTAAAAGATTTGGGACTTCTTAGCAGGAAACATAGACAAAACTTTGCAATTTAACCTGCAAATTCCTGAGTTCAAGCTTGAAGTCCAAAACTTTCCAATATGTTTAAATGAGTTAGGTACAGAGATATTCCTCTTAGTGGCTGCCTTAACATATCACCTTCAGTGTACTGAAAGCATGAAATGACTCATGCCGCTCATTTAAAATTTTTGAAAAGAAATTCCTTGAAAAAAGAAATTAGGATATAAGAACCCCCATGTTACTAAAAAGCAGTATTAGAGTGTTATCATTTGACCAATCCTATTTTTAGGAAAATGATGTACTTAAGGCTCAATATTGTCTTGTGCTATCAGAAGTAAAAATTGTTCTATTTAAAAAAAAGTTGATAATTTCCTCTGAACAGTATAAAACAGTAATCCTGTCAAATCAGTCCGTAATTAGACCTGAATCAAGACATTATTGTTATACAAAGAACCATTTCAGATGTATTAAGAGGATTTCATTCAGTATTAATCACGGTTTTTCTCTTTCTTCATCTTAAAATTTTTGGAGACAGGATGTTCAGGCAGATTTGCCTGTCAAGTAAATGGGAGAAAAAACAATGCAATTTCTCGCTCCTAACACGTCCTCTGTGACTTATTTTTTGGTGAAACATGCACGTCACAACCCTCTCATGTAGTAGGGTACATGTGTTTTGTGCAAGACAGCATGAAGCACTGTTAGCTCTTGAAACGTGGATGAAACACAACAATGAAAAGCTGCATGAGCTACTTCACAAATATGCCAAAGATATCTAACAAATGCAACAAGAACAACTTTGTTATGCTGACTAGTCCAGGAAGCAACGCTTTTAGCATTTGTGGTTAATAGGAGCCTTAGCTGTGCTTGATCACTTCCCCAGTAAGCTGTTTAAACATGAGGCATTAGGCTAGAAAGCTGAGCACTTTCACAGAGGATGGGGGTTAACAATTCACAGCACTAAATCCTGTTTGATCTGCTGAGAAATTCAATCCAGCAAGAGCACTATTTTACTTAATAGCACATTGGGAAAGGAGCTTGCCAGACATGGGATGTTTTCCTCCTGACTGAGGTCAGGCTGCCAGAGCTGGCCCATATGCCATTGCATGGAGTTCTGCTGTCCCCCTTCCTCATGGTCCTGCTCCCTTTTGCGGTGTGTTTAACACGTGCACGTGTATTCATGTGCGAGCTCCTTATTTTCTGGCAGCTGCTGTAGATGTGTAGGTGAGCTGTGGATTTTTTGGAAGTCTCCCAAAGCACAGATACTCCCAGACCACAAGAAGGAGCCTCATTCTCCAGGTGGAGGTTCCCAGCTGAGAAACATACCATTGCTGACTGAAGAGAAGCCAAGCTTTTCCCTAGTGTGTTAATGCACAGGTACATTCACTGATGTGCCTGCCTCTGAGGGATGAATGTCAAAGCTGAGAGCATAAGGGAGTTATAGTGACAGTGTTTTCCTTTTGTGCACATCCTGCACATGGTGATTCACTGTGTGCTTCCTTGCAATGTGCTAGACCTGCGTCTTGGAGAAGAATGGAAAATTTGTCAAAATGTTGCCACTTTAGCAGAAAGCTGGGTAAGTTCCCTTGCTTTTAATAGAATGTACCTTTCTTTTACTGCTGCTAATGCAGAAAGCAGCTGATCATATTCTGTGGGACTCACATTATTTTTATAGTACTTTGTCTTTGGAATAAACCAGAGCATATTGCATGTCAAAAACAGCAAGGGTTTTATGCTGGAAGACAAGCCATGGATTACCATGGATGCTCTTTCCTTCATCCAGGCCTCTGAGAGAAGTAGAGTGCTGTACTGTACCATCAAGACATAGTAGCTCCTTGAAAATGGAAAGGATTGCCATTTGTCACTTTAAAGTGCATTCAACATGTACTTGCCTATTTGAGTTGTTAGAGCATTTTGTCATGCTCTTGTGCAACACCTCATCCTAATCCACAATTGCAGCTCTTTGCTGTAATACAAACAGTGATGATAAATTAATGTCTGGCTTGGCAATATTGCTACAGTCTCCAGTTCTGAGAAAGTGTTTTCGTTTGGAGAAGAGAAATCAAATGGCAGATTCCACTGTCTCTCACCCTTCCTGTCCACGAACAAGCTAGTCCTTGTCCTGTGTAACTTGCTCTGGGGGAGGAGGTACTATGGAAATCCCCCACCCTTAAAATAAAGGCAGTGCTTCAGTATATATTTATTGGGGATTTTTTTCTAGTAAACTGTTTCAAAAAGAGAAGGAAAGGGTTTCTCAAAAACCAAATACAAAAGTTTCACAGGTAGCAAGAACCAGAGCAGGCAGAAGTGAAATGCGTTACAAACATGGTGCTTCTTCTAAACCCAAAATCACCAGCACAGAGGTAAAAATACAGTGTTGTTCACCTTCCAAAGTCTGGGACTGTCTCTGTACATGATGCAGAGTAGACAGTCAGAATCCCTGGAGAACCAGCTTCGTCAGCTGTGCTCTCACAAGGCAAACTCTGCTTTCTCAGGCTGCTCAGCCTGAACTCACATAACACCCTGGCTGAAACCAAGAAGATGACTGGCATTGCTCAGAAGTACCTTACCAAAAATAAACATCCACGGAGCCATGGAGCCACTTCTCTTCAGTGCTGCTCTCAAGGGTTTGCTGAGTTTCCTGGAGACACAAAAATCAACCGCCAAGTAGCACTCCTGGCCCACTGGAGTGGTTGCACTGGTATGCTCTCAGAAAGGACCGTGTGCTGCTGCCTTTAGGCTGGGAAAGTTTCCAAGCATGTATTTCTGCTCATGCTACAAAGAGCCATGGCAGGCAAGGGTTAGCAATGTTCCTTCCGTGTTTTTCATGTTGTACACGTATGAGGGTATGGTAATGAATTCATACACTGATTTTATTCAGTGTAAAGAGAGTAAAGGCAGGGAGCCTTTGCAAGCAGATTTGATACCTGCAAACTTGTAGATATAGGCAGAGAGCAGGGATAAATGAAAGGGGTATCCCATCATGTCTAGAAACTGCTAAGTTATAGACAGCAGAGGGATAGCCAAGACAGCAGGATATGTGGAGTACTTACACGAGGGGAGGAGTGAAGGTAGCCATACCTTCTCTTTATATATCCCAGCTGCTGTTCCCTGGGCAAGCTCAGCTCACAGACCACAAGGTCTGTATGACAGAACAGCAGCTGGGAGACATAAAGGCAGGGATTCAAACATAGTGTGTATTTTAAAACTGCAGCAGAGTCCAACCCCTCCTTGTCCTTTCCCCTTACTACCTTCAGCACCATTAATCTCAAGTTAAAACTAGATTGGCCCTTGAGCTTGGGCTTTCCTCTCTGATTAAAGTGTTTGGACTACACAGTGCCGGCTAAGCCCCAGATGCTAGAGCTGTGCATCAAAGGCACTCCCATCCCCAGATGGAGGATGCTATGTTAAGGGACTGCCACCTGGCAGTGTCCTCAAGGAACTGCAAAAACACTTCACTGAGGCAGAGGTTAGTGAGACTTGTAGGTGCACCCAGTAAAGAGAGATCAGATCTGGTTGAGCCAGACTGGTTCTGAACTATCTGGCATTAAGAGGCTGCTACTGTGATAAAAGACACGAGGCCAGTGGAACATATGATATGACAACTACCTTATCAGGGGTTTTCCCACTCAGTTAAAAAATTGTTCTTCCTCTGAGAAAAATCCCACCATTTTCCTCTCTTTCTTCAAGTTGGCTGAAGATATTTGACTTGTTGTTGTACTCAGTCATGGTCCCTTTTTAGGTAGGAGTGAAGATCTTGCCTTGTGAAGATACACCCAGGGAGGCAAGTGTCACCTTGTTCCCACTCTTCCGGTTAGGCAAAGAAGACCAAAGGTGACAACTGTACTGAAGAGTGACATGGGATGAAAACAACAATAAAATAAACCTCCTTTGGCCAAGACCTGGTAATCCAACTTCTTTCATTTTGAAGTCTTCAATATTGCCTCCTTACCTGCGCTACTCTTACCTTTTTCTGTCTTGTGACAAGCTGGCAGATGAAACAAAAGCAAGCAATAAGTAATTTCTCTAAGATTTCAGAAGACTTCAGTTGTCCTACCCTTTGGAGATGGTCTTTTGCTAGCCAATATCATAGGAAAAAGCTTGTGTTTGAAAAGAGACCTGCGTGAACAAGACATATTTGAGGCCTAGCTGAGCCTGAGAGTTTTTTGCCTATAATTATTGCTATGCTTAGTGCATGAAGGGATCTTGACCAGGCAGCAGTAAGTTTGCTTATCTTTTGATAATTTATGTATAAATTTGCAGATGGAGAAAAGATCAAGAGAGATTGAGAGCTGGAGAGATTGAGTCCCTTTTAATGTTCAGAGCCAGCACAAACAGTGGGTTAAGGTCCTGAGCCACAACACTAACACACCTTCAGCTGTGACCTCTTAGGACTGTTGCTAGATTTGACAGCTTGGCTAAGCCTGCTGAGTCGAGAATGCCCTCTGCGTGCTCACATATTGAGGCTATGAGGAAGGTGATTAATGAATACCAAATGAACATTTCTTTCAAGAAAGATATGGAAAAAGCCTACTCTGCCATTTATGCAAGTTATCTGACAGAAACCAACCCGGGGCCAGAGCTGGTGACCTAGATGTGAAAGCATCTGTGTACCCCTCTGCAGATTATCTATGATTCCCAGAACCCTCTCATCCCCCAAACACTGTGAAACTGAATTCAGTGGGAGGATTGCTGATGCCTTACCAGTCTGTGTGCGCATCATCAATCACCAGGAGGATCTTGGGTTTCTGGGCCACTGGTGGTGTGGGGCTGACCGAGTGATCGATCAGCCCTGCAGCCGCTTGTGTGGTTTGCTTCATGGCACTGGAGATGGAGCTGAAGATGCTGGTGCCAGTGGAGGAAGAGTGCGAGGGTTGAGGTGGGTGCAGGTGCTTTCTCTCTGTGGCAGGAGAAACCGGGGAGCTCGTGGAGCTGTCAGGGCGCTGCAAGTCCATCATGTAGCCATTGGGCAAATTTGCCACAAAACTACTGTCTGAGAGACGCCGCCGGAGGAAATTCATTGTTGCAGTGTTGTGTGGAAACTTTCTCAGCAAGAGCAAGGTTGAACAATGGTGTCACCAGTCCTGGGGGACGTCTCTGTGTCTGTGTGGGTACCTCCTTACAGCCCAGGCAGGCAGGTCTTCTCCGTTGAAATCCTGATGGAGAAATATGCCTTATTTGTTCAGCTGTATTTTCTTTCTCTCCTATAGGAAGGGAATCACAGACATATACGTGAGATACATACTGTGAGATTGAGATAAGAAAAACCCTGTTGGCTTCTACGATGGGTACCTTAATCCACAAGAGAAGAAAGGACTACTGTTTGCTATGCAGTATGCTACACTGGTACAGTCAAACAGGTAGGACAAAATATGCTTCACAACTCTCATCCCCAAACATTTTCTGGTTAGTATTACCAGCTTGCACTACCTTAGGGGATAACAACTCTATAACTATTCACTGCAGAGAAAGAAAAAATTATTCTGATCATAAATGTTAATTTTAAAAAGAGAGACTAATTTCTGGTATTTTGTGTGTTAAAAATAACACATGCTTGTTATACAATAACCAGTAAATGGTTGAAATGAATAAAAAGTTGTATTATCTTTGACAGGCTTGTAAGCAGGGCTCTGAACTTAAGGAATCCTGAATTCAAATAGCATGTAAACAATAAATAGTAGAGAAATCCCTACACACATTTTGATCAAGTGCAGTGGCAGCTTCAAACTATTTGTTTCTGTCCCTGCTACTCTCTACACTCAAAATTAGACTCTGAACCAGGTGCATGTTGGTGGTTCATTGCTAGATACTAGCAGGTTGTCTGATTTTACAACTTCACTTGTAAGATTTTTGCAGGTACTCAAACTAGAAGTTTGGCTGTCTAATCTTCACATACTTTTTGTTCCCGCTCTTGGGGTTTTTTCTAAAAAAAGAAAGATCTCTCATTCCACTCATCTCTTCAAGTGAGAAAGTGAGCACTGTGAAATGTAAGTATTCGACTCTTCTCTCTTGACCACAGTATGATGTCTTTGTTTTTACTCAGAATACCAAGTATTTCAGCAGTTGAATAACCTCACAGTTTAAAGAATTTTTCACCTCTAGGCACATCCCAGAAAACAGATGTCCACAGTAATTTCCCAAGAAATTTTTATCTGGTGGGACAGCATTTGAGTCTTGTTTGGTGAGATTTAGCGGGGGGAAAAAAAAAAAGAAGAAGAAAATTTATTCCTGGTAAAACAGCTATGTTTTTCAAGACATATGTATCTGCAGTAATGAAAATAAGAATTCTCCCATATATTAAGTGAAATGAGTCACATGCAGTCTTGGTATCATTGTTTAAATCATGTCCTAACCCCCTCAAGCCTTTTTGAATGACCTCCTACAAATACTGGAGCTTTGCCTTCATGTAGTTTGGTCTCCCTTACTGTTCATGCTGTTGTCCCAAAGTGTGATTGCCTCCTCCTGGCAGAAAACTGTCTTTTCCCAGTTGGTCTGAGAGAGCTCAGTGTCTGTGAATCTCCATCCTGGAGTCGTGGGTAAGAGCTCATGGAGCAACCAAATAGCTTTCTCATAATAAGCTCTCATTTATTTTCATGTGTAGGGATTCACAAAGCTTTACAGATGAAGAATTCAAGCCTGCCCATGTCCATCACCCTTGTAGCCCCCAAACCTTTAGGGAAGCTCAAATAAGCCTACCAAGCTACAAAGAGCCCCTTGGCACATATGCCAGAAATATCATCATCCATCACCACCCCAAACCCATGGGCATAGGATCCATCTGGAGCAGAGGGCTCCCTGCTGAAGCTGCTGACATTGGCTTATTACAGTAATTTTTCTTTTGATTTCACAGCCCTGGCAGTGCAAGTCCTCTGACTTTGCTGGAGCCTGGAGGTAGTCTTTTCCCAGGGCATAGCTCAGGAAATCTTTAATGACTTCCTGCCACATTTACAGTCGATAACGTATCTTGAGGCATTGTGCTGACTTCCCTCCTGGTCCTGGCACGCCCGGTGACTGCACAACGTCAGTGAACACGCACACCAGTGAGCACTTTGGTAGCACTGCCTGTTTTTGCAGCAGTCGTTCCAAACAGCAGTTAACAGATAGTATTCATGAGTTATGAGCTACCTGCTCACCTCATATATACACCCACACAGCACTTGGCCTATTCCTGTCCTACCACAGTAACTGAATGTCAGCACAGAGCTGTCCGCTGTTTCCTGTCCAGGATGATCCTAGTGGTAGAGCCTACAGAGGCTTTGGGGGATTTATACACTACAGGCTGGGTAAAAATGTGCTGCACTGTCCTCTGCTCAGGAACCTGTGTGTTCTATCTTACTTGACAAAAACAAGCAAAATCCCCTCACTTGAATAACAGTCCACTCAAGAGTAGGTCCAGTCAAGGCTAAGAGGAGCATCCCAGAGATCTGTCTACTGTCAGAAGGGGTCCAAATGAGTATTACATCAGTGCATACAGCAGTTAGGTGTGCTCTCTTCTAGGCTCTTTCTGTTAATTAGCAAGACATAGGATACAAGTTTGATACTGCTCTTGGGAGAAGCATCTTTTCACAAGATGCCTGCCCCTTGCACGCTTTGCGCTGCATCAGAGCTGCTGGTTCCTGCTGTGGCAGCTCTCAGCCACGGGAGGGAACCTAGCCCCAGCCATACAGGCTGGACCAGGCTCATTTCACAAGCCTTGGGACAGGGTCCATCAGGACTTACATGCTTGTGAAGGTGCTTCTCCCACACTGCCAGGTGCTTGCATGGTTACTTTCTCCTCTGCGAGACTTGCACTCTGCAAATGAACATGGATATCTTGCAAAGCATCAGTCAGTAAAGCAAAGGGCAAACATCTCTGCTCTGCCCTGCACTGAAGGAAGAAGGGCATGGAGACATGTGGCATAGGGTGTATCAAGGCTGGGTAGGGTCAGAGTACTCTGTGATGTGCCTGGAAGGCACACAGGTTTCCTCTGCAACCAGGCCTCCAGAACTGTGACCAGTGTTCACACTAAACAATTTATCATACTTAGTGCAAGGCCATGATCACTCTCTTCCTGGACCCTTTTAAACAGCAGTATTTACATTGACCCATCTTTTTTTTCCACTAGGGATTTAGTAGTGGAAGATGTTGCCCAAGAGATGCTGGGAGCTGGCAAAATTCTCTTGTCTGGAGAATTTGGGACACTGCATTTAGTCTGGCCTTTCGCTCTACTAGCTGGCACTGCCTCCACTAGCTGCTAAGACTGTTGGCTTGGGAAGGAAGGAGAGAAAAACTAAGCAACTGATGTCATGAGGAAATCTCCCTCTGGCAAAGTATGCAGAGGCTAAATTCAAACAGCATGACACTGCTGCAGCAGAGAGTAATGCCTTGGCTGCACTCCGGGGTTCCTGTCAGGATCTTCAACTTTGGGTATCTTAGAGTGATGGCACAGACTGTCCTCCTGTCATTACATACGTTTTTCTAATGATCTGAGTAATGTCATTAAAAGAGATTTTTTTTTTAAATGAGGTTATTGGTGTCTTTGCTGTATTGATTTGTCAATTGCTACTAGTGCTGCCACAGAGGAGATCTTTTCTGCAATGGGAGCAGTGTAACCTTCCAGCTGCTTTGATTACTAGAAAACCTCATGGCCTATTTCTGCATCCTGCACACTTGCTGTTATTTAACTTTCAGCAGTAGGCATTTTCATACAGGCACAGGTTGAGTGGGTTAGGACCTAGTTTTCCTACTGCTTGAAACTCCCCATGGACTTCCTGAGGGCTCAGCACGTCAGGCCAAATCTGCCTCTGTGCAGCTCTCATGCAGCACTGCATCCACCCAGTGCACATAGAGACCCTACCCTAGCAAGTGAGCATGGCTGTAACTTCAGCAAAGCCAGGAGCCTACACCTCCATCAGAAGCAAGACAGATCTGCTAAGCGGTATTTTATCACTCCAGAGCCACAGGTAGGAGAGGTGCTGGCTCTACACCATCAAGTTGTGCCTCGCTTGTGTACACCAGTGTCTCCCTATGGAACATATGGAGACACATCACCTACGTAATGCTGTGCCAGGCACAAACTTACTCCCAGGAAGGTAGCCCCTGCACAGCTGGAACACAGCCCGTGGGCTGATTCCAGACGAGGCAACAATTCTTGTGGAGTTCCTCTAGTTGCAATATAAGCAGCTGCTTCTCACCATGTAGGAGTAATCTGGTGCTGTGTGAAACAGCTGCTCCTGAAAGCTGTCTGGGAAAACAGGGCATCTGGGCCGTGGAGCTGCAGGTTGGGGATCTGGGCTATACTTCAGAATGGGGAAATAATAAATGAGGCATAGCACGATGAGTGAGCCCTAAGGAAAGGGGACAGGCAGGAAAGAGCACGAGAGGAGGAGGAGGAGAAGGCACAAGCATAAAGGGAGGAATTAAGCAGGAATCAGTTTAACCAAGAGACAGTGCAGGAACACAGAAATCCTAACAATGTGAGCACCATCAGGGAATCAAAAGGAAACAATGTCAGCAACTAAATGAAGCAAAAGGAAGGTCAATTAGAGTTGACCTTGAAAACAACAGCAAAGAGGCTGGCACCATCAGGCACTTACTAACACTCAGTTAAACTTCCTGGCTGATATTTTTGGAAGAGCAGGGGAGGATATGCAATCTACTCGCTTAGCACATTGACAGCAGCCAGGCACCTACCTGCTTTCTCTCAAGGATACAGTCCATGGAGATACAAGTTATCTCAGAAAACCTGTTGACATGTGTTAGAAAACAAGAACAAAATGTTCACTTAAACCTCTTGTCGGGTTACTTTCTGATCTGTGGTAGCATCCAGGGGGAACCAAACTCCACTGGCTGATAGCTGTTAACCACTCCTAGATTTCCCCTGAGCTTGTTATCTCATGCTGTTAGGTAATGAACTGACATGACCATGCCAGCCTGTGTCTAATTACTGCTCCTGACAGCCTCAACAGAGCAATGCTGGGGGTGGCAAGATGGAAAACCAACAGGGTAAGATTATCCTCCCATCACACTGTAAGGGACCCCACTCTTATTTCCGCCCCATGGTGGATGGTGAGGTGAAGGGATTCTCCTCACCTGGCACCTGATATCCCTCACATCCATTTTTGTGGAAAGTCTTCAGCATACATTCAAGTTTTAAGACAATCCCATGGGTCTCTTTCTGCCTTCAGGCATATTGATACAATGTGGGAGTCAACTTCTGTGGAGGATAGCAGTGTTAGAGAGCTCCAAATACAGCTGGATGGCTTTCCTCCTACAATTTATTTTTAAAAAGTGTATTTTCCGCATTTCTAGTATAGTTTGAAAAAGGGCAAAGGACAAGATTATTTATTATTGTCAAGCTTTCAGTGTTTCGCCCTGAATGGCTTCAGCATTCCCAAGCTTGCCATAGCCTGGCATTTCTTGGGAAGAACTGAAAACAGAATAAAACAAATAGTTCAAAAATTAATTATAATTTTTATCTGATTTTTACCTCATTTGCCACAGTTCTGCACTCAAGAAGCTCACATGTTTAAACATTTCTTGGTATTTTTCAGCATCAGCTGAAATTCCACAAATTGGGAAATTACAACAATGCGGATTAGAAAAAGAAAAGGAAAAGGATACCCCACCAAATACTCCACAATTTTAAATCCTGAAGCATATACAAAAAGCATAAGAGTTGGAAAGACTGTAAGTCATCCAAAAGAACAGAGGAAAGCAGAGTTTCCATGCTGGTATTCAGTTTGCTGAGAGCTTTCCCAAGCATCAGCAACACAATACAGCTCCAGTGTAGGCTCTGGTTTAAATTTTCAAGAGCATGTAAGACTACAGTGCAAATTCCGCCTGAAATTAGAGGGGTTTGTGCATCCCAGTGCCACATACACTTCTGAAAACTGTGTATCTGCTGTGACCAACACCAGCAGAACCGTAATGTCTCTCTTGAGGTGGTTGCCAGAAGTCAGGACCCTGCAGTTGGAGGAGGTGCCAGGGCAGAAGAGCAGAAACAGCATACCATCAGGACAATGATGCTACCCAGGGCCTGAGCCTCTTGCTACGTGTTAGACAGTTTCTTGCCAGAATCACAGAATGATAGAATTGCCTGGGTCGGAGAGGATCTTGGAGATCATCTAGTTCCAACTTCCCTGCTGCGCACAGGGACACCTTTCACTAGACCAGGTTTCTCAGAGCTCCATCCAGTCAGGCCTTGAACACTTTCATGGGGTGGGACATTTCCAGCTTCTCTGAGCAGCCTATTTCAATGTCTCACTACCCTCACAGTAAAGAATTTTTTCTTTTAGTTTTTCTCTTTTAGTTTTTCTAAACATATGTTCTTTCAGAATTCAATTTACTTCCTAAATTCTTTATCACTTCCCAACATTTGGAAATGTGTTCTTTAAGGATTTTTGCAAGAAGTCAGTGTCTTGTGCATTCAGTTTCTCTGTTTAGAGAGGTTGTCAGAGATGGCAGGATGTCTCTTCGTCAGAAGCGAATCACTTCCCGATGTTCAACATGCTTCATTAAGCCACTGATACATATAAAGGTGCAACAATTTGATTGTCTTATTGCTGCATTCCTGTAGATGTATAAAAGAAATCCTCTCTGCTTGCCCGGGTAGCTATTTAACTGGAAGTCTAGGCTTCACAAATCTTATTTGTATTTTCAGTTTGCAAAGCTGTCAGTGATTTCTATATAGCAGTTTCATGATATATATAGCAGTTTCATGCTTTATCTCCTGAAGATAATGGGTGTGCACAGACCAAACCGAGTGCAAATGGAACCATTTCCCAAGAGCTACGCCCTGCACACAAAATGAGCTAGTCTGTTTCCTCTGTTGCCTATTACTTTTGTAATGACAAGTGAGGAAAAGAAGATGAGGAAAAAACATTTTAAATGACAAAATATCATTGTAAGATGATCAGACTTTCAAGTAGATTGCAAAGGACAATGACTAAAGCCATGAACAATAGTGAAAAATTTCCTAGTGAAAAGTAAATCTGAATATTATGATAATACTCTCTGGCTTTAATATCCCCCAGAACAAATTATGATGTGCTACTTCTTGGAAACAATATATTATTTCCTCATTTTATTCTTGCTTTGGAAATCCCGTTGACACCTAATAGCTGCGGTGTTCTCTCAGTGGTAATATCCCCTTGTCAATGAGCTTATGGAGGCCTTTTGTAGCCTGTCTCTGTTCAGTATCAATACTTGCTTATCAGCAAAGCCAGACCCAGCTCAACTGGAGCAGGCAGCATGAGGAAAGAAATCCTGTGCTAATCCTTGAATACTGTAGAGCCATCTCCTTCTGAAAGTCAGCTGAGTTGGCACACTGTCTCCATTTCCTATTTCCCAAGCGTATTGTGGTCATTCCCACCCCAAGTAATAGTGACACTAATGCTTCCATTAAGGCTAATACTTACACACTTGCTGCCCACCATTATAGTAAAGAAAATCAAGAGACAGCAGTACAAACCTGACAATTTGTAGAGATAAATGCTTTGCATATTAAATGGATGAAGTTGTAAGCAGGAAGTAAGCAGGGCTCCAAAGACCCCGTCTCTTTCCTTCCGAGCCTTCAATCTGATGCAGCTCATGTTGTGCATTTTAAGACATGCTCCAAGTTTCCTCCAGCAACCGTACAAGTCCTGATTTCATGGTGATAAGAGTGAAAGTGGCACCAGACACGCCATTAATAGAGTAGGGATTTCCTTCAGCTGAGAGATGTGCTGCTTTGAAGAGTGCTGATCTGAATAAAATCAAGGAGCTGAGTGTATTTAATATGTAGGGCCTGCCAATATGCATTAGGGCTCATCCAGATAAGAGATGCCTAAGGGACTGACAACTCTCAGGGTCTCAGAGGAAACTGCAGCAGCTTGCCCAGTGCTAATGAGGCTCCTGTCTTGATTATGATCACGTACTCTTCCTCATTCCTATACCATTTTCTTTCTACTCTATTTCAGTTCTGCCACAATAGGCTGGTTATTTAAAACGCAGGTAAACGAAATATTTTGTTACTATAGAGTGAACTAAACATGTTGTGGGAAAAAAAAGTGCTATGGGCTGTGAAAGGGAAGAGAAAATTCACAAAGAGGTTATAATATACATCAAATAGATAGTTATCAATTAACTGATGACTATAAGAAGGATTTTCTGTTTGGAGCACAAATTGTATTACTTTTTATATGTTTATAAGACAAAAATCAATTACATACTTCCAAATAATGAATCCTCAAACACGGCTTCATAATTTCTGCAATGCGTCAATGCTTCTAATTAATTTTAAGATGTCACAAAAATTCCGTTTCTTTCCCAAATGTGTTATGCTTCTGGGGGCTAGAAAGTTTGCCTTCAAACATTTCAAGTTTCTAAACCATCTGTAGTGCTAGTATATTCCATCTAAGTTTTGCTACCATTTGCATCCACTTCTGTTCTCCCTCTTGCATAATTTTCTGCCTGTTTGCCTATCCATTCTTTCTACTCAAGCTGGATGGTGTGGAAGCTCTCCATGATTGGCTCCAGACATCAGAAACTATGCTTAGGCAGAAAGCATCAGAAAATATGATACATGAGTGTCGGAATCAGATTAGATTCTGGACCCAGACAAAGTCCTGAGAGATCAGGCTAATGGGCTGGGCCCAGGGATGGAAATAAAGCACAGTATGATTTTAACAGAGTCTTCTGCTATCAGCTCGTTGAATGATCACTCAGTGTCAATGCCTTGGTTTCCTCACTTAAGAAGACCAGCTTTATTTTGCAGTGTGGAGAGAAACTGCAAGGCTTAGCTCGCACACCTCCATGCTGCCAAGCGTGAGCAGCTTCAAGAGCTCTGGTTCCCCTGCTGATCAATAGCTGAATTCCAAAGCTTTTAAGGGTTACAAAATTGGTCGGCCTTATGTAAGAACCCAACCACCAAACCTTTCAAGGGTTGGCAAATATGTAACTGCCGTGACTGGGGACAAAATATGTATTCTTGAAGGAAAAGAATGTGTCATTTAGAACCATTTTTTAACAGGGAATGTAAAGTATGAGTCTGCGCAGCTATTTTGGGTTATCCTTCTCCTATGCTCTCTGAACTTCTTTCACAAGGGAAGAAGACAAGGAAGGGGAAGAGGGGAAGAGAGAGCATGAGCAGTTCTGCAGCTGGACAGCCCAAGCACTGTGGGAGGCACTCAAGCCACACACATTGATGTGAGCTCCTGCAGGGTATCCACAAAAATATGGTGTGACTAACTGGTTACAAAGAGCGTGAGCATTGCAGGAGGCAGAACAGAAACAGGAACATCCTACAAACCTCACACTGAAGTTGTCTGAGAGACACGCTGGGGCCTCCCTTTCTACTTTGTCCTGACTTGCAGGACAGGTAGGTAGTAGCTATTTATGTATAATTATATGATGGTACAACTAATGATTAAAGCAGCATTGCAAAGTATTCCTATTCCACTCTGGGACAATCTGCATTTTTCAGAGCTAAGTAGCGCTGTCCCACATGACTGAAGCTTACTGAAAAAAGCCACTTTTACTGTGGATACATATTTACAGGAAAAAAAAAAAAAAAAAAAAAAGACTAGACTGCAAGAGTAGCTGAAGAATCCAAAACAAACTCGGTAGTGCTCTGAGTAACAGCTAGAAAGCTGCCTTGCTTTGCTAGGTTTCTTTACAGATATTGCCCAGGCTGAGTGCCTGTGCCCTCATGATCATAAAGGCCAGGAGATTTAAAACTTTCTGGCCACCTGATAACAACTGCAT